CAAAGAGGAGAAAAAGATAATTGAGACAAGTTTAAGATTTTATCACTTATAATAAACAATTAGTATAATTGAAAAGTTTAAATTTTATGAATTAATGTGAAGAAGCCTAGGATTGAAGAATATTGTATTGAAAGATTATAAGGGAACAAAATCAGTAGATTGGAAATAACAAAGGAGGAAGTGAGATAAATTCTATTTATTTGTTGTTTAGAAAATATTTAAATACCTAAAGTAATTTATATTTGAAAAATAATTTAGAATTTTGGGTAGAGAATAATAGTAGACTTGAAAAGGTGACTGGGAGAAAATTTTTTAAATTAATTAGTTCTATTTCAATCAACCGTTTTATAAATAAAATTGATGTCCATGCACTTGTAATTGTTAGAGGTGATAGTGTGATACCGGAGTTAACTAACAACAATGGAAAAACCAAATAGAAAGTTACAATCAGTTAAATGAAATAGGAAATAATAAGCACGACATATAAGAAATCTGAAATTGTAACAAATGTCAACACAAACTCAACTGGAGTGGACCTCAGGGTGATGGTGGTGATTAGCAAGAGGTTGGAAGGAGGAAGAAAATAGCAAGATAACGGTTTCCTCGGATCCGGACAGCATGCACGAAGCATGTATCCATGTGAGACGATTGTTTGGGATGATGACAATAAAGCGGGACGGCTGAAAAGTAGCGGTAGTTAAGATGAAGGGTTGCAACAGCGATGGCTGCGAGGATGGAGGATCATTTAGGGGTGCTAGTAGTAAGGAGGAGGAAAATGGAATTCCTGGAAGGTGTTCGCAAGTTGGAAGGGAGGAGGGAGGCGTTAGCAAGGTGAACTGCAGAAAAATAGCTATGGAGGCTTATTTTCGGGCAGCTGTAACAGCAAACGACGACGATGACGGAAAAGGAAAGGATGCGGAGGAAGGGAAAGTAGAGGATAGTCATCATCCAAGAACGGGATACAGTGAAAGCACTACTCGCCCATGGATACGGCCCTAGAAGTGGAAACCGGAGACTTAGACAGCTATCCCGACAGAAAACATCAGGAATACAGATATATAAGCCTAGGATAACTAGGAGTGAACCCCACTCTCAATAAGTGACAAGTCCATGCACCAAGGAGGATTGATCGTCCTTCCCATGCTTGGACCGAATATTCCAAACACGGCATTTGATACGCCCTTGTGTGGGGACGTGATCCCGCATCCGTATTTTGGACGCCCACGCCATAGTCAAAAGAAATGGTGGAATAAACTTATAAAGAGATCTCCAAAAGATTAAGTACGTAATTATTATTTTATATACATTGAATTTTTTTCTCCTATTTTATAGTAGTTATAATGTTAAAAAAATAAATTTATAACATCACAGTGAGATGAGACTGCTATGGAGGATGAATGTTTTTACACTTAAAAAACAAAATCTGAAACGAATATATCCGTGAAAGGGTTGAAGTAGCTCAATTAGCAGAAAAATTAGAGAGAGTCGCCTTAGACGGTTTGGTCGCATTGAACGTTGACCATCTAATCCTCGTACTAGTAGAGTAGACGTTTCAGATTTAACTATGCTAAGAAAGATAGCGGTAGACCTAAAAAGACTTGAGCATGTTATATAAAAAATTAATTTAATTTATTAGAATTAAATAAAAATATGACACTCAATAAAACAATGGAGAAAAAGAATGTAGCCACCCCCACTTAGTGGGATAAAAGCTTGTTGTTGTTTGTTGTTGTTGTTGTTGTTGTTGTTGTTGGAAAGGGGGGGGGGGGGTTATAAATATTTCATTTATTTCATTAAAGTTGAAGGTTTAAAAAAATTTGGGATAGAAAGAAAATAACAAAAAAATTTTAATAATTATTTAATGTTATAAATTATTTCATCTTTTGCATTGTACAAAAAGATTAATAAATGAATTTAAGGATTGAAATGAGTTAAATAAATTTAAATGAAAAATGATTAAAAGTGCATTTGGGGCGGCTGTTCATTTTTCAAGAAGCTGTAATAAAGCTACTCCCTGGAGAAGCAGTTTTCAGAGCCGTCAAAAAGTTGCTGATGAAAAAACAGATGTCTGTTTGAGAAATCTGTTGTGTTGCTGTTTTTTCATGTTGAGAAAAACTGTTTTGCCCTTATTTATATAGTATATTGAAATAAGCAGAGTTTTTAGAATATTCATAATTAAATAATATTAAGAGTTTGTATTGCTAAAAAACTGACAGTCCAGTCTAAAATACTTTAATACATAAAAAAATGATTAGCTATTTAAAGCAAATGACTACAATAACAAGAACGGTAATCAACAAGCCTAGATGATGTTTAGCTTAAAATCTTGATAATCAAGTCTTTAGAAGGACGAGAAGTAGCCCCGACTGTAAACTCATCCGATGTGGTAACCATCTCCAAGGGTCTGGTGGTGCTCCGACTATAGCTCGACCCTGGCGAGAAATTTATCCTTCTGTAGCCCCCTCTGCCCTGCTCCAACTGTCACAAACCATCTTCTCTACTGTCTTCCAAGCCTCCAACCCCCTTCAAGCACCCACAAGCCTCCTTCAAGCCATTTTCCCACCATCATTCACGCCTCCGAGCTCTTTCCTACTGCAGTCAATCCCTTCTAGGTCAGTTCTTGTTGCTGTCAGTCCTCCAAGTTTCGTTCCTACCGCTGCCCAGCCCACCGACACTTGTTCCTGCAATTGTCCAGTTCACCCTCACCTCATCCAGTTGTTGTCTAGCCTCTGGACACCTGTTCATGTTGTCATCCAGCCACCACCACCTGTCAGCTACTGTCCAGGGCCACCGTAAACCCTCTCGAGTCCCCTTCTAGCCACCACATAGGCCTCCCGACCCTTCCCTGTTGCAGGCTAGACCTTCAACCCACTTCCTGTCGCTGTCCACCATTTCAAATACCGTCACCACTTGTTAGTCGTCATCTTCCAACACTACAACCGCTCCCTTCCGATCCTGTCGGAACTGTCGCTCCCCCTAGACAGAGTCGTTTGTGTTTCTTGTTACTTCTTATTTTTCGCGTTGTCATCGTTGTCATTTTCATTTGCATGTTTGTATTGTCTATATTGAGGAGTCGTCATTGTAACATATTTGAATTTCAACAATAATATTTGTATTTCTATTGTTGTTTGGGTTAACTCTGGTATCATATGAAGTAATATCATTATTGACAGGAGATTCCTTGTCAAATTTTCTATTGAAATTAAGTTCAGAAAGCAAGTGTGATGTAACTTGATATCCATATATTCGTGTCATGTCCTATTAGGTCGTCCCAAACATATGATCATTGCACATATTATGATAGTTACCAGAATACATACTCTTACATAAAAGATGGAAAGTACATTATTCTCTTGTCTTAGGAGGAGTCCGAGACAAGGGGCATTCATAGGGAGTTTGACAACGTAGTATCACAAACTATCTTTTTACAGGCCTTCAGTGAAGCACCAATAGGACTAGCATTGATTGTCCAAAAAGAAAATGAATTCAAGAAACTAGCATTAGAGATGAGGCAGCCCCCACGTAGAGCGGCCCTACATATCATCGCCTCAGACAGAGATAAGACGTCCTTGAGTTATCAATGGAAGATTCCATGGAGTAAATTGTATACTAAGTTCTAGTTCAATTCAGAACTGCACCTACGAACAAATGGCCAGATAGGAGTGGCGAACTGTAAGTATCAATATCTAATTAGGTGTTTGGTGGAAAAGAACATTCGAATCTAGGTCCTTCAAGAGAAGAAGAGTCTCTCCTAGCTAAGGAGATTGACGTGGGATGCAACTTTTCCCGTAGACATGGAACTCTACATGATTCAACTTCCATAGTTTCGTGCTTGTGGCTCCCACGATCGCGAGAGTCAGAGCCACAATTTTCCTTCTTTTATTAATTTATATTTAGCATGTTTCCTTCTTTCGTTTAATCCTTTTCTGGTTCTTTCCTGATTTCCTATTTTCTAATTAAGTTATTTCATAAAAAGACTTGTATATATGTTGTATTGTGGCTGTTTGGGTTTCTCGCCTTTTTGATTTTATGAGTTTTGAATGACTTTTCTTTGATTTTTGTTATTCGTCGTGTTGCAGCCTCTCCCTTTTGCAACTTGCAAGTGGAATGTCTGGAACTTGCCCAAGAACAAATGGTAGATCCTCCTCGCCGCCCATACTTAAGTTGATTTGCCGCTAGCCCGTTTTTTCGGCAGGACAGTCGTCGATATCACTGCCACCTACTATTTACAGCAGAAAACTACCTTTCCCCATTTTTGGATTGTTGTCTAGCCACCGTTCACACCGTATTTCAGCCCTCATCCATCCTCTCACTGTCGTTTCTCATCCTACAGTTATTGTAATTCCTTTTTGTATTCTCACACCTTTTAAGGGCCTAGAATAGTGCCACAGCCGTTCCCGCCTTATTATTCCAAGTATCTGGCTCGGGTCGTGACATGCCAAATGCGCCAAAAAATTACACACATGTGAAAACTCACATGTAATCTCCTCTTTGAAGAACTTTCAAGGTGATGATTTCAAAATTAAATCAAGTTCAAATCATAACCCAAAATTTATAAGAAAATATCCTAGCAAATATCATAAAAACAAGTACTAATTTGCTATCATCCTAATAACATTCCAATTTAAATATTTGTGTATCCCAACAATTTAGAGTTAAATTCCCAACATACAAGCATTTAGTGAAGGGAGAATGAAGAATAGACTACAATTAGCAATCACATAAACAATGAAGTAGGAATAACAGGGCATAAGGAGATTCAGAGTATATATCCAACCTAATTATCACTATTCACGTGAATGTCTTCAGCTAGTTTAAACCTTTGAGAAGCAAATAGTTCATCAAAGGTTCTACAATTCAAGTAGGTTTCAAAATTGAAACCTCCCCAACAAATAACCACCACATCTCTTAATGAAGCTAAATGATCCAAAAGGTAAGGAAATTACATTAAAGTAAATTAATAAACTTTGAAGATACAAGGCCAAATTGATTAATGTTACCTGAACATCACCAGCAGCAAAGACACCTTCAACAGAAGTTTTTGATGTACCATCCTTAACGTATATATACCCTGACCTATCGAGTTCAACTTGACCTTCTAATATCTGGCTGTTCGGAGAGTGCCCTATACCATAAAATAGGCCTTTCGCATCCAAAACGGACTCTTCTCCTGTGTCAACTCTTTTAATTAATACACCAGACATTTGCCCTTTGCTGTTGCTTACAACATCCACAACTTCTGTATTGAAGTGCAAGGTAATATTCGGACTGTTGAGTACTCTGAAACATTCGCCATAATCAACCTGTTAAACAAACATCCAGGAATTGCCTATCAAGAAAAAAAAAAAGAAGGAAAAATTTCAGAAAAAATATCCCCATCATAACTTATCAGTGCATATCAGCACTTAACAGCTTTACAGAAGTTCGTATTTCCACAAGTGATTAACAAAAATTCAGGTACTCGATTCCAACTAAATTAATAATAGAATATCAACTATGGGAAATATTATTCCTAGAAAATCTCAAATGTAATGACTACGAATGATGTGGGTGTCTTAACAGCCGCGGGAATATGTGGTGTAACAGAGAGCTGCAGGATAGTCTCCCGTGACTTCTTCTGTCACGAAAGGGCCGACCAACTCTTCTATGTGGATTTGGCACTTCCTTTTCATAGGGGGATCCAAGTTCTAGAAAGTGTGCCTCTGCATTAAAGACAAGAAGCTATAAAAGCTACACAAAAAGAGTTAATGTGGTTGGGATGATCACGCTTGTGACCCCACTTTTTTTAGTGTGGAGGAGTCTGATGCCCGTGTTCTCTCCTAGGGTTGTATCTAAATGCGAGAAGGTGCACCGGCTATAACTTGTCCCGAGGAGGCATTTATCTCTCGTTCCCTTCTCCCCATAGCCTCCCCTTCGCAGCTGTCGTTGTCAAAGTTGCTGCAGCCACCGTTTGTTGTTTTCCTGAGCCGCCCTTCCTTTCAAGGCCCCTCCCAGTTGCTGCCAGTCGTTCTAGTCATCTCCCACCTGCTGCCAGCCCTTCCTCCAGCGGACTTTGCTGTCGTGAGCCTCCAACAGCCTTCCCCTCACCCTAATGCAACCTCCCTACTGCAGTCACCACGCATTAACCTTGCTGCCACCAACCTTGCAGGCACCTGACCACCATCAGTCGTCTTCCCTGCTCCCTGCTGAGTAATCAACCTCCCAGGCCAAAGCAAATCATGACTCGGGTGTGAGGATATCCTGATTAGTTTTTTTTCCCCTCAAAGAAAACAAATTCAGCACATCCTCACCTCTTTTTGAGGTTGAATTTTGTAATTTTTAGATTAACTTTGAAATAAATGAAATATAAATATTCATTGATTAGGTATACATTATCTTATATTTGAAAGAGTCTTTATTTTATTCTGATTTTATATTTAAAAGAGTCTTGATTTTATACATTGATCTTATAGTTGAAAGAGTCTGGAAAGTGTCTTGACTAGGTTGGTCTTGATCAATTTGCAAGAGTCTTGATTTTATTCTGATCAACAAGTATACCCTCTCGACTAATTATATACCCAAGAAAAACCACACTTCTCAACTAGAATTCACACTTGAAAAACTTTACATATAAATGGCTCAACTTCAAAACTCGTAGAACAACATGAATATGATTTGAGTGATTGTGTTCATCCTTGAAATACACCAAAATATCATCTTTAAAGACTCATAAATATATCCAAAAATTGCTTAAAGATTCTATTTATCAGATCATGAATAGTGTTAGAGTATTAGTTAATCCAAATGACATAACCAAAAATTTATAGTGCCCATATCAAGTCCTAAATACTGTCTTTGTCATATCATCATCCTTAATCCTCAACTGACGATATCCAAATCTCAGATAAATATTTATAAATGGAGTGGCCCTTCTAGCTAATCAGATAAATTATTAATCCTAGACACTGGATATTTCTTCTTAATAGTGAACTTATTCAATTCTCTATAATTAATGCACATTTCTTTACAAATAATACAAGGACTCCCCAAAGTGATGTGTTAGGCCAGAGAAACCCCTTATTTAACAATCCTTGCAACTAACATTTTAGCTCCTACACTCCTTAACGGCAATTCTACATGACGCCTTGAATACTAACTCAAAAACTGTAAATAGCACATTGGTAAAATCTATCTATATTGCTGGTGGTAGCCTTGGTAAATCATCAAGAAAACTTCTGAATAATCAACCACAGGAATATCATTCAATGAGACCACTGATTTTCACTCTTCAATAATTTGAAAGCCTTCAAATATGTAATTACATCAAAGCCAACCCTTTATCACCATAAAATTTTATTTCTAACTTTCCAGGCATCTTCTTTTTAATATATATATATATATTTTTATCTATGGTTGCAAAATTTTTAGATAACCAATCAATGCCTATGATGACATCAAATTCTACGAGTGACAAAATAATCAAATATGCATCAAAATCTCTCTCACCAATATTCAATTTTATTTGACATAATTGATTAACCTCCATATGACTTCTATTTGGCATTTTAACCTATAATATTATTAGCATTAATACAATTCTAATACAACTTGTCAAGACGCGGCTCTAAAATTTATAATTAACTAAGGCGAGAATGAACAGTCAGGCACTAAAAAATATTTATAAACATTAACATTAGTTCATAATAACATTCATATAAAAAAAATACAGTAATCCATAAAATACATGTAAGAAATCCTCTAACCAATATATACGATCATCCAGGAATACAGTAACACAAACAGGATAGTAAAAATGACAAAATAGAGAAACTAATAGACTACCAGTTATCACCGATGGTATCTCTCATCATATAAATCAATCCTATTTTATCATTCATATCAGTCTAGCAATTTTTTCTTAAAAGAACAGTTAGACGACAAGTTATGTTTTAAGAAAATTAGTGAATACTTACAATTTCATCATATATTAAAATTTTATACAAATGTCTAATATGAATGCTAAAAGGAATATGTTGATAAAAAACAAATTTTTTAAATATATATATAAATTGAATTTAAATATCTTATCAACTTTTTTTTTTTCCTTTTACTTTTAGAAATAATCTCAGAGACACATCCTCGCAGTAACAGTAACAGCAGTGTCATGAGGGGGGTCCTCAAGGGCAACAGACACCACCTGTCTAGTAGCATCCTCCCCAGGTGGAACTAAAATATCCAGAGCAGTGGAGTAAGACCCATCCTTATTCACTTGAACCTTAGCTTTCAAATTAGGATGGAGCTTGTAGCATTTATCAAGGATATGACCAAACATCTTACAGTGGGTATAATATGGGAGTCTGTGTTTCAAGACGATTTGTTGCCAATATCTATTGTGGGTTGTGCCCAATCGGACTTCAGTAACATCCAGTAAAGTAATATATATTTCCACAAGTATTCTGGCCAATAAAGGTCTGGTTAGGTTGAAAGTAGACAGATCTAGCTTCAAAAGATCCCCTAGGATGGGCCCAATAGAGTAGAGAGTCTGATGGTGAAAAAAATGCAGTCTGAGACCAGGTAAACTAAACCATACTGGTACAGTGAGAGTTCCATGATTTGGGTCGAAATCAGGAGACCACTTGAGTAACTTCATAGTTTTTCCTACGATATTAAAATATTTCTTCGAAAAAATTCTGGTGTAGTCTTCAGCCATTGTTGGTTGGATCAAAACATGTCTCTCATTCATAAGTCTCAACTTCCACTTGTCTAATGGCTTACGATCATCTACGCTCTTTCTGATAACCTCCATAGGTGGATGTCCCCACTGAAATTTTCTAATGAGAGCAAACTTAAATTTTTCTGTCATGTATAAATTTATGGGTAAAAATTTCTGAGTCAGAGAAAAAAATTGTTGTTTTCTCACCTTTCCTGCTTCCCTTCTTAACAAAAGAACAATCATTAGTGTCATCGCGAAATTCCATATAGTTTGAGGGGAATACCACCGCAGACTCCACCTGAGGGTTTCCCATCACATGGGCAATGGAAGCCTTTGCCGATTTAGTAAAAGAAGGAAGTGTCATCAGAACAACCAGTTGTCATCTGCAGCAATGCGTCGGGCTTGAAAGAAAGGCACAGAAACAAAGCAGAAGATCGGGCCGGAGAAGCACTAGCGCAGACACGAACAGAAGAAGCGTCGAAAACCAACACAGAACGACGAGCCGGGGAGCTGGACTTCGAAGCAGAATCCGTGGATTGCAGCTCAACGAGGTCGACACTCGACGCAAGCTAGCGCGAAAGAAACCGTAGAATCCCTACGTCGTTGTCGACGATCGCAGAAAACGAAATGATCCTCTGCCGACAGGTTAGCAGCAAATCTTGCTAGCGGCAGAGGCGAAGACTTCTTCCTTCGGTCGAACCCTAAGACGCGCCACGAGAGCCCTAGCTCGATTATATATATACACACACACACACACACACACACACACACACACACACACACACACACACCTTATTCTCACTGAGATTGAAACCAGTATTCTCGTGTTCTCTTGGGATTTTGCTCTAGTGGGAAAATTCTTTTATGGTCACCCAAAACTGAAGATCATTCAGAAAGAGTTTGATGTTATGAAGCTATTGAGCAGTTGAAATATTGATTTACTTGACGGTTGACATATATTTATTTAGTTATCTCACGATGTCGATTACAATTGCATTTTTTCTCGAAAAGTTATCAAGATCGACAACCGCTTTATGAAAATTTTGAAATGGACTGTCAATTTTGATTCAAAAGTGGAGTCCTCTATCATTCCTGTTTGGATAACGTTTTCGGGGTTAAAATTATATATGTTCAACACGGAAATTCTCTACTCCTTAGCAACTGCTTACGGTGAGCCTCTCAAGGTTGATATTTCTACGCTTGTTGTCACCAGACCCTTTGTAGTTTGTGTATTAGTTGAGAGAGATATCACTCAACCAACTCCGGATGAGGTATGGATTGATACCACTCACAATGGGTATTGGCAAAATGTTGAAATAGAACCACACCCTTCAAAACACACCCTCGTTGTTCTTATTGTAGTATGTTTGGCCACAGTGCTACTATTTGTTATTGTTTGCATCCTCATCTAAGGCCAAATATCACTAAAGATCAGCCACCTACCATCCCTGCTAGAAAATACAACCCGATCCTCTTTCCAACACCGCAGTTCCAGATGAAGAACACCATACCACAGGTACAGATCCAAATGTGCTGATACCACTCACTGTTATCGAAGAAGGTCCACTTACATGCAAGGACACAGTGCTCCTTCGATCTGATAAAAGATCAGCTGGTACAATAAGTAGTTGCTTCTAATGTTCAACAACCTACACATGTCCGCACACTTTAGACCATTACACTCACACTTTAGACCATTACACTGCATTACACTGATCAGATGAGCCAACCTTCGGATGAGGAATAGCAGGCCTATTCCAGGAGGAAGAAGAAGAACGGAGGCCGACTCGAACTCGAGAATTTATTGGATGATACATTGATTACTACTGGCAATGGCACTCATCTTAACAATTTATTAGCTGGCTCCTTCCTTAGAACTAAAGGCAGAGGCAAGGCAAAATTGGGTCGCTCTCTAGCCACCTAGCTACCTAACACTGCGTATTTTGACACTTTTTGGTTTTTTCTTTAGGTCTCTCATATATTTTTCTATATTTTGTCTTTTTGAAACCATTTGATGTGGTGGTTATCGTGTAGGCCCTCCCACACAATCTATTTGTATCATTCTTTCTATTTAATATATTAGTGTTTGGGCTTTATATATATATATATATATATATATATATATATATCGATCTTCAGGATTTTTAAATAACCACCACCTAAAACTTTTTATATTACATACTAAACACCCAAACTAAATTATCTACATATTAATCACCCAAAATGTACCCTTTTTCAAAACAAACTTCCGTTACCCCGTTACCAATTCTCTAAGAATGAAGTAGAGAGAAATATCTTAGGCAAGGGGGGGCAAGAGTGGACGAGAATCAAAACCTAGAAGACAAACGAGGATCAAGAGCAGGAAATAGCTTTCTCGTCTTTGCAGTGTCTCTCAAAGTTCGACCCTTGTCAAGATCTTCTCGTATGGAAATATATCAATGTCTTTTTCTTCATAGCTCTGCTAAAATGATAAAGAATCCATAATTTTATCTGCCTCGAGAAAGCAGGTCCTCTGCCGCACCTCTTCAAACTTTTTTTTTCATTGCCAGGAGATTCTTCCTGAAATATTGAACTCAATAACGGAGAAGGAATGATGCATGTCCGTTCAATGGGATGGACTTCTAACAGATAGACTTTGGAGGAATTCTTAGACCAGTAGTTGAAGGCATTGAGATCCCAACAATGAAAGCAAAGATCACATCGACGTTGCCGAGAACATGATCTTGTTCCCCTTCATTTCCATGACTTTGATCCTTATCTAATATGTGTTAATTTTGGCCAGGGATGCTTCTTTGTAATTCATCTGTAATTTTGTACAGGCCATGCGGGCAAAGAAATGTGACAAATTTCTTTTTTGTAATCCAGGAAAACAAGAGAGGAAGAGGGAGGAAGATTTCAATAAATGAAGAAGCATGCACAGAGAGAGAGAGAGAGAGAGGAACTACCGGAGGCTAGACAACATTACCGGTGTTCGACCAGGTGGGAGATGAACGCTGGCAAACTGGTAAGGGGTAAAAGAGGGTGGCTGTTTCGAATAATCGGTATATTTTGGGTGGTTAATATGTAAAAAAATTGAGTTTGAGTGTTTAATATGAAATATGAAAGATTTTAGATGATAGATATGGGAAAAAAAAACCCCAATAATTAATTAGCTTTAAATATTTTTCCCCAACTACATTTCTAATCAAATTCTCTTTAAAATCTAATCACAGATTCCAACCCATGAAATTCAATATATACCTAATGACATTTAAAATTAAAACAACGTAAATATAATCATAAACAATTACTCTTTATCTTTTTCTCTATTGCACAATCACCAAGCTTGATCCAAATGGTTTTTCTTCTTCGCTTCCTGAGATAGAAGGCCGCTAAAGAATTGATTGTGGCTCAAAGAAAAAAATGCCAACAAACAGCAAACTAAAGCAAATGTGCTTCCATAAAAAGGTTTCGAAAAATATGGGCAAAAAAAATATTAGCGAGCTAAAAAGAAAAAAAAAATAGGACTAAAAAGTAGTAAATACATAAGATACGGATTGCAAGAAACCATGAAAATCTAAAAGTTAAAGAGGATGAAGATGGAGTCCAGATGGCAATATTGGATATCATGGGTGCTATATTTTGGAAGAGATGTACACTGATTTTTTGGAAGATAGACAAATGTTTGTGTGAATCAGATGGGAATTACCACATACAACTTTATGTTGTAATTAACGAGGTGAGACCAAAATACCCTTAATATCATTTATCAAAATGAAATAAACAACTTGGTGAAAATATATCAAAAATCAACGAAACTAAGAGGAAAAAAATACAAAAGAAAAAGACTTTACTCGGTCCATAAAATGTGGTTTAGATCCACCCACCAAAATGAGAGATACAACCCATGGTGGAAAAGTACCTGTTGGTAACTAGTCCAGATATCAATGTGAATCAAATTTCGATTTAAAATTTCATATTTCCAAATAATAACTTTCTCAAATATACATACACGGGCAAATGTTCTCCTGGTTATCATAATGTGTTACTAGGGCCCAATAATTATGGGTATGGAAATGGTACTTTTAAATAAAACCGCATGTTTAAATCACCTGTCTTGCATAGCTTTGGATGCTCGTAGCTGATTCCCACGAACTAGCAAATGCACGTGACGAGCATACTTGGTTAAGTACAATGCTTCTTCAGTAGCTGTATCACCACCACCAACAACAGCAAGGACTTGACCCTTAAACAAGGGTGATGCACCATCACATATTGCACAAGCACTTATCCCTCTACTCCAAAATTCATCTTCACGTGGTAACCTAAGCCTTTTAGCAGTAGCGCCAGTTGCTACAATAATACTATGGCACCTTACCTGCAATATGGAAATCAAATAAATGACTAAATGAGGAAAGGAAAAAACTAAAGTCAAATACTAATTCTAAAATACACAATTTGTTTAATTTCAAAATTTATAAGTACTCAAAAAACTAGAAAAATATAAAAAAAAACCAACATGGCACCTACTACATAAAATAAATGAACATGTTATAGAAACTATGAAGAAAAGTGAAAAAACCTTTCATGACCAAGTAAAAGCACTAGTTGAAAGATTCATATATAAGGTAACCTAAGCCTTTTAGCAGTAGTTTCAAACCAGGATTACCCGAGTTCCAAATAACCAATCCTTATCTTAATTAATAAAAATTCTTTTAATAAACATATGAACACTGAACAGATAGCAGCTTGGAAAGAAAATTGATGCTATGATTACCAGCAGCGGATTGCCAACATCCAAATCATCAATGCCAAATACGTTACATATCAAACGAGGAAATTCAAAACCAAACAAATCATCCCCAAGCCCAACAACAACTGCCTTGTTCCCAAGCCCAACTAGGGTAATTTGTACCACCTTCTACCACCCACTAGATGGTCCAGAAGTGCGAAGTTAAAAAGAGAAGTCAAAATATATATATATATAGTGGCAAGAAGGAAAAACCTTCCCCATACATAGCTGTACAATATCCACATGTATTAACTAAAGGAACTCACTTTATTCTACTATAGTAATGAACCCCACAATATTGAAGCTTTTGACTGATATTTAAAAGACATGACTACTTAAAACAGGGGAACAAAAACTTCCATGAAAATACAAGTTTCCCAACCAAGTTTCTATATATTAAAAAATGTTGATGTAACCAGAAGGATTAACATTGTTTCAAAGCAAAAAAACAAATCACTTTCACACAAAATAGATATTAAATGGTATTGATACTATATGATGCATATTAAAGTTCTTCTACAAATAGCAAATCCAGACAAATATCATATAATGTATTTCAAAGTTGATAAGCCATCTCATGGTATACGTAAGGGCTCAGGCAACAAAATAATAGCTGAGCTTTCAGATGAATCCAAATATAAGTTAACTTCCCAAGGGTCGAGTACTCCAATAAACCCAAAATAATCATATCCCGCCATAAGGCTCTATGCATACATACTAGAGATAACATCACAAACGCGCATACTTAATATGGAAAGAGAAAATAAAAACCCATTTCTAGACTAACTTGTGATATAGACATGACAAAGTACACTCCAACACATGAAGCTTTTTGATCTTCATATCTGATATTGAATAAACTTGACGATAAAATCAGAGGAGATCGTACCAACACATGTTAATATGTTCTGATAGGAATTCGGTATGTTATAGTTCATTATTAATATTTAGAATGACAATATATTAATAATGAACTATAACGAACATATGAGAAAGATTACCAAAATTAATAGCACAAAAAGAACCTAAGAAAATCAAAGCCTAGAAGAAGCACAAGAATGGTTGACTCTTTAGGAAATCCCTTTTAGCTCATAAGACCCATGCAAAATTTTGAGAATTAAGCGGGATAATATTATTGAGCAGCAGAAGAGGTACAAATATATGATACAAAGGGTATAGAAAAGGAAAGATTTACAACGGGTATAAAAAAGGAAAGATATAATACCAAAATATTTCCTAAATAGCACCCAAAAGATAAAAAGGAAAGGCATAAACTAGGAAATAGATATAAAAAGAAAAAACAGGAAAGGCAACAAAATAAATAAAGATAACTTCTAATAATTAGCTTCTAACACTCTGGCTCAAGTTGAAGCATAGATGTCAATCATGTTCAACTTGGATTTAGAGTCGTCGAACAACTGTCGAGGAATGTTCTTTGTGAGGATATCTGCAAGTTAATCACTAGATGGGACAAATGAAACACAAATCTCCCCGAATCAAGCTTTTCCTTGATGAAGTGATGGTCAATCTCTATATGTTTGGTGTGATCATGTTGGACCGGATTATGAGCAATGCTAATTGAGGTTTTATTATCACACAACAACTGTAGAGAAGCAGAGACCCGCATACGTAATTCGCGAAGCATGATCCGTAACCAGAGTGCTCAAAGTTTCCCAAGGACATGGAACAAAACTCGGCTTCTGTACTACTTCGGGCAACCACTAATTATTTCTTGTTTTCCCAGGTGAGCAGGTTTCCCCACACAAAAGAGCAATACCCCGAGGTAGATCGCCGATCATGGATGGACTTGACCTAGTTAGCGTCAGTACAAACTGTAATAGAACGAGAAGTGTGGCGAGAGACTAACAAACCTGAGTCCGATGTGCCTTTTAAGTAGTGGAGGATCCGGTGGAAAGGTGTGAGATGGTGCTCATAAGGGTGGCAAATATTGGGGCATGTATGGACAAGATAAAGGAGTTTCTCCACAAAGCGCTGGTAGTATATTGTTCGTAGGAACAACATTCAAAACATCAGCTAATTTCTCATTTGGGCCCATAGGAACAGCCACTCTTTTGCAAAGTAGAAGGTTGGCCTCTGTTAACAGGTTCATCACATATTTATGCTGGAAAGGGCAAATGTCGCGAGAGGACTAGGCAACTTCTATGCCTAAGAAGTATCGGAGAGACCCTAAGTCCTTCATTTCAAAGGATGCGACAATAATGTCTTTAAGAGATTCCAAGGCTGGTGGTTCATTACTTGTGAGCGCAATATCGTTGACGTAGAAGATAAGGATGGCAATTTGACCACTAGAGGAACGTCGAAAGAAAAGAGTATGTTCCAATTGGACTTGAGAAAACTCAAGGCACACTACCACCTGCATGAACTTGTTGGACCATGCCTGAGAGAATTTCTTTAATCTGTAGAGGGACTTTCGTAGTCGACACACTTGTCCCATGGAAGAAGTAGAGTCAAGTCTGAAGATAGAGACATGTACACCTCCTCTGTGAGATCGCTGTTAAGGAAGGCATTCATGACATCCAGTTCAAGTAAGAGTCAATCTAAATTCACAACAAGGGATAACAGGAACTGAATGGTGTTTAGTTCAGCAACTGGAACAAATGTCTCCTCATAGTCAACTCCATAAGTTTGTGAATAGTCTTTGGCGACCAGCCGTGTTTTGTCACGTTCAATGGTTTCATCAGAGTTAAAGATCAACAACGTCTCACATATAATTTCGCCAAAGGGCATTCATCTCATTCATTACCGCAGCCTTCCAAGAAGGGTCCGTCAATGATGCCTCGATAGTGGATGGAAGAAGAAGATTCGCCAAGGAAGTAGAAAATGCTTTGCAGGTCGGCAAAAAAATGTGAAATATGACATATTTTACCATGAAATAAGGAGAGAAAATCTTATTACATATCTCAATGGTATAAATCACCACCTCATTCAGAGTCCACAAGTGTGGTGTCAAGGATGTAAGTCGAGGCGGATCCTAAGTCCTGCAAAGAGGCAGCGGGCTTAAGAGGAGGGGTATTGGAACGGGTCTCAACTGAGATTTTGATGTGTCGAGTATAGACACGAAGAGTAGATGGAGAAGATATTGGTCTGGTAGATGGTTGATCTAGTGGGATGGATGGTTACTCAGGAACATTAGTCTGAGTAGGTGGCATATCCAATGGAGTCAGAAAAGAAGCAGTGTCCAAGAAATCTAGCTTCCCCTCACTTGAGGCAGAGTTGAGGAAATAGGAAACACTTTTAAAGAAGACACTGGTACTCACATGAGGTTTATTTGTGATAGGATCGAGGCACCAATAGCCCTTTTGAGTGGCAAAGTATTTAAGGAAGATACACTTGATTGAATGGAGATCAAGTTTACCACGAGTTGGGGTAGTGTTTCGAACAAATGTCCTGCATCTAAATATTTTGGTGGTCAAAACTGGAGAACCAATTGATAGGAAAACAAGACCTCAAGACTACTAACGAGATCTGGAATTTGTGAAATTTCTGTGGGGACTATTGATAAGATATGTGGCGGTAAGTATGACATCATTCCAAAATTGTTTCGGTATATTCGCTCGGCTGCCCCATTTTTTTGAGGAATATCCGTACAGATCATGCTTGAGAATCATGGCGGACATCTGTGATAGAGAATTGCCTAACTAAAAATCCCCTAATATAGAGTTAAAAAAATTCACGGTCATTGTCAGTCCGAAGGACTTGAATTTATATTTTGAATTTGGTCAAAATGAAGAAATGAAGTTTTTTGAAGGTGACAGCAGCTTCAAATTTGTCTTTTAAGAAATAGACTCACGTCATTCGAGTGTGATCATCAATTATAATAAGAAACCACCGTTTATTGGTGTAACTAGGCATTCGAGAGATCAGTAAAAAAGGAGTGAAAGAAGTGTAAGTGTGGTGGATATGATATTTGATGATGTTTAACTAACTAACAAATCTCAAATTTAAAATTAGATAGATCTTTATTAGTAAATATCAAAGAATACAATTGTTTTAAGTACTGAAAACAATGATGACCCAAACAAAAGTGTAAGAGCATAATCGAAAGTTTAGTGGACTGGGTAAGACTACAACTATTGGATGGAGTGACCTCGTTAACACTGAGTTCCCTTGGAAAAGTAGAGCCCGGCTATCTGCTTAGCAATTTCAATCATCCTCCCTGAACGAAGATCATGAAAGACACAAACATCAGAAGGAAAATGACAACACAAGCAAAGTCATATGTTAACTTATTGACTGACAAGAGGTTACACACAATCAAAGTCATATGTTTAACTTACCGACTGACAAGAGGCTACACTTTAGCTAAGGTACATGTAACACAGTATAGACTCAGGTCTGTTATTAGAACAACAGACCTTTTACCCGCAATAGAATTACAGGAGCCCTCAACACTTTAACGGTATCTCTCCCAGAGCACAGAAAATATATCGAGAATACTTGAGAACATCTGGTCAAATAGTCTGTGGCACCTAAATCAATAATCCACATACTAGAATAAGCAAACACAGTGAGTTTCATCAGAATGTTACCTTGACGAAGATGGGAGATGGGGACGAGCATGAAGAGAACTGACTAGATCTAAGTAGTTTGATCAAGTGCTTCATCTGACTCTTAATGGAGTTTAGTGATTCCGGGATGTTCCGAGTGGGAGCCGGTTGTACTATCGTGATTTCTGAGGTCGTAGCGAGACACTTAGCAGCAAAGTATTTGGTTGAAGGTTTATTCGTCGGTTTCCCGTAGAGCTTCCAACACTTGTCACGGTTACGAATGTGTTGGTGACTGTAATCACAAATGGTGTCCGCCATGATTCTGATTGAGCCGAAAGTGAAGTTGGGATGCCGAGACATAAAAGGATACCGGCTGCAGGAGGAAGAGCTGGCAATGGAAAATCCTCTAGGGAAGGATCAGGCTGCAAGTTGCGATGTAGCCGAGAGTCTTGGTTGGAGACCTCAAAAGATATGTAGCTGGCATGAGGAAGGTTTGAGCAATGGCACAACCTTCAGGGGAATTTTAGGAAATTGGCTGAGATCTAGACATGGCGGCAGAAATAATAAGCAAAACTGGTTATACCAATTGCGGAAACTGACAAGAGAAGCGTCGGTGAAAATCAACAGTTTTTAGGTCTTATCGGACGGGAGACGGGGTAGGGCGGTACAAATGAAATGAGAGAAATAAGCGAAGGGAAATAAACTGCAAATTTTGCAGACCAAACTACACAGAATCCAGCTCACAGGAGAAGGGTCGGCTGTCAAAATAATCTACAGGCAATTCAGCGGGAAGAGTCGACGGCTAGGAAGAAGTCGGCAGCAGCTAGGGTTTGATCCTTGGCTCTGATACCATGTAGAATTTTGAAAATTGAGCAGGATAATATTATTGAGCAGCAAAAAGGGTACAAATACATGATAAAGGGGCTGAGAAAAAGAAAGATATAATATCTAAATCTTTCGTAATAACACCCAAAAGATGAAAAAAAAAAGCATAAACTAGGAAATGCATATAAAAAGAAAAAATAGGAAAGATAACAAAATAAATAGTAATAACTTGTAATAAAATAGCTTCTAATAACCCTTAAATAATTCAACGTAACTTTTAATAAGGGTTGCAATGTTACCAATCTAACTCAATCACATGACTAGAGCGTATGGGTAACTATTATATAAAAGAGCTAAAATATCATGCAAACACTCAATGGAGAATAAGAATTCATAAAACTGCCCTTTCGGGAATGTATTGAAAGTGAGAAAGAAAATAACAAAATCAGTAAACTCATGAAAACATAGTGTCAGCACTTTAAAGAGTTTCCAAAGTCACCTCCACGCCCTAAGAAATAAAAAACAAAATAAAACAAGCGTACCCACCTCACGTTCACTGCTCTTGATGGTAAATGGGCTGTTTCTTATATCAACTAATTCCACATCTTCTTGGTAAAGCTCAGCACCCCAACGCAGAGCTTGCTTCCGCATCCTGAGAATGCAGCAGAGACAACAATTTCTTAGGAAATGTATATGCAAATTAAAATTTTAAAATAGTTTGTGAGACCTAGTGCAAAAGACAAATAATAAGAAAGCTCCAATAACAACAAATTTTAACGAGTCAGTTGAGAGACTATTTACCTGTCCATCAAATCCGGACCACTGATTCCAGCAGGAAAACCAGGAAAATTTTCAACCTCAGTAGTCGTCATTAGCTGACCCCCTGGAACACCACCAACTTGAAACCCTTCAAAAACTAATGGTTTTAAATTAGCACGTGCAGCATAAATTGCAGCTGTGTATCCAGCTGGTCCTGATCCTATGATCACCACATTCTCAACTCCCTTGGAAGAAGCTGTAGCAAGCAAATTAATTACAACTGTTACAAATTCCCCCATCAATAATCGTATTGCTATGTGAAAAGAAAGCTGCAGAGTGCCATAAACTCAAGGTTACAAATTTAACATGAAGGAAATTAAAAAAAAAAGTTCCTGGAATTTAACACTCAAACACCAACTACAATGAATATGGGTTCAGCTGTGATTGGAAATGATTCAAATATTATCAAAATATCTTCTTAAAAACTATTAGAATTACCAAGATTGATTGATGAGCTGGAGTACTATAAAAGTCAGTAACCTTCCTCACAATCACCAAATCAATCAAGTTTTTTCAAAGTTTGCATCATCAAAGCTCAACTGAAAATTAAACCACACATCCCTGCTGTAGCTGGTGTCTTGGTGACCCAATATGCATTCGCCCAATATGACCACTCCCAACATTGTTTTACATAACCATGCTAAACATTAGGTAGGTATGTGGTCAAGTAGTAATATTGCAAAAAAGTTATATGTAGTATACAATATATTTAATATAATAAAGTTTCTATAGGTCCTTACAAGGTAGCAAAATGAGAATACATTCAACTACAATGTCACAACATCTCAAGGAATATCATCAATATCATTTATTATAGGTTAACAACTTAATTTGTTTCCCTTGAATCTAATTTTCACCCATCCCGGTGGTCCAAATCCAATAAACAAGCATAGCTTAAGAGCTAAGCATTGTATTTTTATCCATCTCAAACAACCTAGTTGCCTCTCAATTTCAAATTGCGATTATGTTTACCATGCACAAAGTAAAATCCATTAAATTGTTGAATTCACAATCTCCTTTTATCCCACTTGAAAGTGAAATTCTTTAAAGCTACAGGCTTGAGGATGAAATGATATGATACAGAATCAGGTAGAATTAATGAAAGAAAACAGCAGGGATGACCAAATACACAAATAAAATGTTCTAGTGAATTTCAGCATGCCAGGCAAAGTAGCTTTGCTGCTTGATTATCCATAAGCTTGGCATGCACCTCAGGTATTTTAATCAATTATCAAAATTGTTATGATATCATAAGTATCGAATAAAAATTAATTTTCTTTTTAAGATCTAAAAAAATTTTAGGATTAGAATATTAGATAAACAATAATGATACTTTCTTTGGGAAATAGGGCTAGAAATGAACCAATACATTCAACAAGGTACCTAGAGTTTGGCTTGGTAAGAGCTCATTCGTGATCATTTAATCAACTAATCAATGAAATTTGAATATTTTTAATAAATAATCCATTGTTAAATGAAAAAACCTGAAGCCTTGTAATACTTTGTCATAGGATTCGTTTATAATCATAAGAAAAATATCATTTAAACTTATTAAAAATTCAATTTAAGCTAAATATAATACCAGATATAAAGCTCAATTAAAGCCCATTTAAATTTCTGAAATTAGCATAAATTAAGATCTTAATCAATAACTAATTATCCAAATTACTAATTAATTAGCAATGTATAAAATTAATTGATATTAATATTAACCATTAATTTATAAAACTAATTAATATTATACAACACACAAATCCTGAAACCCTTGTCTTTTTGTCCATAAATGCCACCCCCTAGAACTCCAAACATCAAGGAAAAAGCAATAATGAAGGCAACATGAGCTTGCTGGAGAATGTGCAACAAGATATTGCCACAATAAAAGGCATCGGCCTTACTGGTCTGGTGTGAACAAGAAGAGAAGTTCATCTACGCAAAATCCAAAAGCCCTAGAGAACAACTATGCATGGAAGGAGGGGGGAGATTGTGGAAGGTGCAATAGGATCTTGTTGGAGAAGGCAGGATAGGAACAATATTGTGCAAACAAGAATACAGGAGTTATGAGATATGAATGAATTTTGCTAAAAAGGCATCATGTGAAGAACAGCATCTGAACAAATTCAATTTGATAAAACTCCACTATGAAAAGTAAGGCTAATTTTAAAAATTTGTTCAATTAAAATCTCATATTCTAAGCTCAACAAGCTCACTCGATAAGGTCGATAAAGCTCTTCTATTTTTTTATTTTTTATTTACCAAACAAATATACATTTAAAGCTGAATAATCACAATGTGAAGTAAGCTTGAGCCAAGTTTGAACAAGCATCAACTTAAGAGAACCATACTTGAACACAATCACAAAAACTTAAATCATGCTCAAACAAACTTTTTTGTAAACAAGCTCGAGCTCAAAGAGCTCCATTCATTTGCATTCATGGGTTTAGGATCTACCACACTTAAGTTGAACGAACAATATTAGATAATTGTTATGAAGGAGATGATTTCAACAATGTTCTTTCAAAAACACTTTAGGAAACACAATAAAAGTCCTAAGTCACTTCTAAACACCGCTTTCCACTATTCAAAAAGACTTTTGCAAAGCCTTATATTGGTACATAGGTACTTGTTCCATGGATATCAAACTTCGACTTCATAAATGTTATACATTTCTACTTTCAAGGACAAGGATTGCCTCCCATGGCCAAAATATTTTATCAAAATTCAACTCCAGCTCAACAAAGCTTTTAACACCCTCTTTGACTTTTTTTTTACAAAGAAATCAAAATATCAAACAAGAAAAACTAAAGAAAATAAAATCTCAACTCTGCCTCACATCCACACTTCTAAGCATGGATTATGTCATATCTAGGCAACAAGTGAGCTATTTCTCGGTATTGCTCCTTAGCAGCATGGCCCTAAATTTGGACTCTCAAGAGTCTCACACTTTCACCCCTCTAGTCTATTTGTATCTTCTTGAGGGGGTATAGACTAAAGTTTTCATAACTAATTATAGCCCAAGTGCATGCATAATACAGCATAATGTTAACCTCATGAGCCTACGCCCTTTTATAGATTTTGATGATCATAAATCACACAAAAAAATTGAGAACTGATAGTTTCTTAGATTAAGAGTTTGCAAGTATTAGGTACACTGAAAAAATAAAAAAATAATAAGAGGACTTATGCTTTAGTTTAGGAAAATAAGTTTATCTTTCATGTGTAAAAACCGCACAATACAAAATATCAAGGTATATAGGCAAGCACTGAGGAGCTCTGGTGTCGAATGGGAATAGCACCGGTGATTCTGTCTGATGGGAACGGGTAAAAACCACAGAAGACTAAAAATCAAAAATATCACCCATTACTGAATCTCCAAATCTGGCAAACAGTGCACCATTCACTTCAACTAACCAAACAGAATCCATACGCTTACCCATTACCGATTCAGAATAAATCCAACCACAAAATACATACATCCAGATACCAATTTCTGCAGAAACGCACTAGCGAAGCAGAAGACAGTGACAAGAATTTAACCAAACCTATGGCCGAGGAGCTTGTAGCCTCCTCACTAGAAAGCACTTTGAGCGGACGGAGATGTCTACGGCAGCCGCTATGGAAGCTACGGCGCGGGAATGGTTGGAGGAAGAAGGAACGGCTGTGGATTCCGGGAAGAGAGGAGGAGGAAGGAGGCGCAGCCGCCGACACAACCCCCAGTCCTAAACGAAGCACCACCATTGGCCTCAGAACATGTATAGAGTTGAAAGGGGGATGAGAGAATCGTTAATGGAGAAGTGAGGGTTCGCCTCAATGAAATCGGAGATCAGAGTCCATTCTGATGTTATCCATCTTTATTAACTACTGGCGGAGGGCGATGCTGCCGTCATCTAATGCCACTGTTGCCTGTATGTTATATGTTCATCCCGAATTTAGTGGATGCACTCGATATAGCTTATGGCCGGACATGGAATCTGCTTGGTATTTTGGTGCCATTGGGGTGAAAATAACGATCATCTTCCGAGCCTAGGGGTGTAAACGAGCGAGCCCGGGCTCAGTTCGTGTTCGGCTCGTTTCTATTTCGAGCTCAAAATGTGTGTTCGTGTTCGGCTCGTTTGCTTAACAAGCCGAACACGAGCCGTTCAAGAACAAAGGGTTGATTTGACAACCCTTATCATGTAGCCATAAGATGATAAGGAATTATTGTTTATATTAAAACATCATTTGAATCTATTTTAATAATTTTTATTCTATCTTCTTCATTAATACTTTTAATTGATTATAAATCTTTATAGCCTTGTAGTCAATTAAATTTTTAAAACACACTACTCATCAAAGAGATATATATAATTGATTAGTAGTATTTCCAGCCGAACACGAACGAACAAATATTTGTTTGTGTTGTTCGCGTTTGGCTCGTTAACTTAGCGAACGAGCTGAACACGAGTTTCTTAACGAGCCGAACACGAGCTGTTCGCGAACAACGAGCCGTTTTGACTGCCCTATCCGAAACTAATTGGAGAATTATGACGCACCGGCTATGAATCTGGAATAAAAATTCCGAATAATCTATATAATTTTTCTCTATTTTTTATTCTTAATTTTTATTAAAACAAATAGTGAATATGGATAATTGTGATGTGAACTGTTGATGATAGTGCTGAATCTATTGTAATTGATGATAATAATGAGGGCGATTGATGATGTTATTGATGATGCTAATATAATTCATAATTCATTTTGTGATGATCATTATTGCTATCTGATACGCCACCAATAAATTTTTATCATCCAGCACGAATCTCGATGTAATTTTTTTAATAAGAAACATTCAAACTTCGATTAGGAGTCATCTGAAGCTCCATCAAACTGATCGGCTCAATGAGACGGACCTAATGATATGAAAGTCAGTCCAATCCGAGTCAAATTAAGCCCGGATCAAACCATTAAGCCACTATTGGAGGATTTCCGGAGGCATTTGAAAGGTCAAACAAATGTCAAATCTAGCGAGTTTATTGTTGAATCGAGTGTCTCGACAAGACAAATCCAACGAGACCAAGATTGCTCAATTCTGACATCGTTAAGGCACTCAAATGTCCATCAAAAGTCACCTGATCAAAGGAAGCTCTCCGAACCGTCCAATCAAAATGGTTCATATTCATGCATTAATTGCACTCAAAACACTATAAATAGAGTCTCACCCCTCACATGAAAGAGATGAGGCTTAAGAGAGAACTTGAGGCTTTGAGAAGGAGCTCAAGTCCAAGATCATCCTCGTCATCGTCGACCGTACCTCCATCGACCACCTCCAACCATCATCGACTGTCATCAGCCACCGCTGATCTCCGCCGACCACCGCGGACCGTCCTCGACTGTCATCAGCCACCGCTGATCTCCGTCAACCACCACCCACCGTCATCGATTATCGTTAACTACCATCGATCACCGCCGACCTTCGTCAACCACCGCTGACTAGACGTCGTCAGTCGACGTTGTAACTTGGAAAGCTAGTAACCCTTTCCCGCCTGTGGGACAAGGGGCATCTGTAATAATCAACTTATACTGGATTTTTACAATTGGGCCAGACCCCGTGATTTTCCCCCTTTATGGGTTTTCCACATAAAAACTTCTGGTATTATCACAGCTTGATTCATTTTTTTTTTAGTATGCGTTGAATCCTCGTGCAACGCTAAGACGATAATCCATTACTCTACCGCCGCGAATTTTCTAGCATGCATCAGTTTGGCGTCGTCTGTGGGAAAGTTTCAATCTCACAACTAAAGTACTTACGCGGTCTACTACATGGCCACCAGACACAATGTTCGTGATAATGGAGCACCCGCTCCAACACCCATCGTTTCAGGGAGCAGTCACGAAGCCAGGGGCGGCATGCTTCTTCATCTTCTCGCCCTAGAAGACGTTATCCCGTCAATGAAGGTGTTTTGGGTCCTTAAATAGAAGATCGAATATGTAGAATAGAAGAGTCTCAACTAGAGATCCTACAGCTCCAACCCGGGGCTCAACAGCCGCTACCTACACCATTGGATGAAATTTGTTTACCATTAACTCCGCGACGTACGAGAAACATACCGCTCGGAAGAACTCATGCTGACCCGCCTCCTCAAGAAGGAACACATCTCATGTCAGGTCGTGATGTTGAACTCCTAGATACAGCAAGTTCCACTAATTCATCTCGTGCAGCTCACCTGATATCGCCACATCCTCCTGACATTGCAGATAATGTCATTCTTTATGAACTACAACGCCTCGTCCGGGAAGAGTTCCCCTTAGATAAAAAGGATCGCTTCTACGCTCACCGTAACATCCATGAATCTTCTCCCTTAGCGGATGCGGTCCTCCAACACCCCGTCCTAACAGGCTTTAAGCTTCTGAGCATCAATACATATGAAGGGACAATCGATCCGTACGAGCATATTGATCATTATCGAACTATCATGCACATTCAGCATGCCTCTGATGAGCTTCTGTGTCAAGTGTTTCCGCTACTCTTAAAGGACAAGCTCGAGCTTGGTTCTGCTCCCTGTCGAGGGGCACTATAAACACCTTTAACAAGCTTATAAAACTGTTCGCAGAGCAGTTCATCCCAAATCGAAGGAACATCAAAGATTCATCCCAACTCTCTAGAATTCGTCAAAGTGAAGGAGAGTCACTCAAAGACTACTTCCGCAGGTTTTCTACCGAAGCCCGTCAAATTCCAGGAGCAGATCCAGAGTTACTTAAGGGGGTTTTCCTTTGGGGGCTTTGCCCAGGACCCTTCTAATCATCACTAATGCGGGAGACAGTTCGTTCTTATGCTGACCTTGTACACCGTGTTGAGGCCTAAATCACCGCAGACGATGTCATCAGTGCACATAAGGAACAATTTGAGAAATTTGGGGGAAAGCGCAAAGGTAACACTGGAGATAATAATCAATCTTCACAATGGAGAAAGTCTGAACAACAGAGGAATCGCAACATCCTTCCTCAACCTGCAAGCCAACGAACTAAATATCGACCCAAGAAAGAGTGTACATACCTCAATACATTGCTAACGTCTTAATGGCTATCAAAGATGAGCAAGCCATTAAGTGGTCTCACGCCCTAAAACCTAACTCAGAGAATCAAGAACAATAATGTTATTTTCATCGAAGTCGTGGTCACTCCACCGAAGCGTGTAAGCAGCTCAAGGAAGAGTGAAAGGTTAATTAAACAGGGATATCTTGGTCGATTTGTACAAAACAAACCAGCTGGTATCGATAATGCTCCTACTGTGGGCAACATACACCATGGCAGCAACATGAGGGTCACCCAATCGTAGGAGAAATTCAAACAATTGCTGGAGGCCCATCGTTGATTGATCAAGTCCTTGTCCTTGTCACTGTACCTCTTGTCACTGTACCTAGTGAACCAATGCAGAAGAAATTGCGCCTCGAGCCTATAACTTTTGATGATTTTGATTTGGAAGGAGTTTGATTCCCCCCACCAAGATCCTCTCGCCATTAGTGCAGGAATTGGTGAGCCCTGCTATAACGTAAAGAGGCTCTTGATCGACAATGGGACAATGGGAGCTTTGTGGATGTCTTGTTCTATTCAACTTTTCTCAGTTTGAGATTGACAAGGGAAAGACTTCAACCTGCATCTGGACCATTATATGGTTTTGATAATCGACCAGTGAGGGTCGAGGGAACAATAAATCTCCCTGTTGAATTAGGAGATTTTCCTCGACAGATAACCCACTTAGTTCAGTTCATCGTTGTCAAATCAGAATCGGCATATAATGTTATCTTCGAGAGACTACTGTAATCAATATTTGGCATCGTGACTTCTGTAACACACTTGAAGATCAAGTTTCCAACCCCAGCAGGGGTCAGCGTCATGCGAGGTGATCAACAGATAGAACAACCATGTTACCTCAGACAAGCTCAGCCACGTCCGTCAATGACACTTAACATTGAGAACTTCGATCTTCAAGATGAAGATGTATCTCAACACTCAACGGACTTCTCCCATGGAAGACTTGGTTCAAATCCCACTCTCTCACAAACATACCTGGAGAACAATACAGCTTGGTTCCCTACTCTCTGATGAGCAAAGGTCAGAGTATGTAGATCTTCTCCAAAGAAACCAAGACATTTTTGCATGGACTCCGCCTGACATGTCTGGAGTTGACCCTGAAATAATCATGCACTCTTTAAAGATAGATCCAACCTTTAAACTGGTCGTCCAGAAGAAGCGTAATTTTGCCCCATATCATTTACAAGCTATTCAACAAGAAGTCAAAAAGCTTCTCGAAGCAAAGTTCGTATGGGAAGTACACCATCCTGCATGGCTGGCCAATGTTGTCATAGTGAAAAAAGCTAATGGTTCATGGAGAATGTGTGTCGACTATACAGACCTCAATAAAGCTTGCCCGTAAAGCAGTTTTCCCCTCCCGCGCATAGATCAACTTGTTGATTCCACGTCTGGACATCAGATGCTAAGCTTTATGGATGCATACTCGGGACACAATCAAATAAAGATGACCCCAATGGACAAGAAGACCACCTCTTTTCAAACAAATAAGGGCTTATACTGTTATCAGGTTATGTCATTCGGGTTAAAAAATGCTGGTGCAACTTATCAACAACTCATGAACAAGGTCTTTAAAGAGCTTCTTGGGCGTACAATGGAGGTTTATGTTGATGACATGTTAGTAAAAAGCTTGGAAGCATCCCAACACATTTCTCATCTAGAGGAGTGTTTCCAACTCCTTCGTTAGTATGACTTACGACTTAACCCGACTAAATGTGCTTTCGGAGTCACATCAGAGGAGTTTCTATGATTCATGGTTACTCATTGTGGGATTGAAGAAAACTCAGAAAAAAATCAAGGCGTTGAGAGAGATGGTGCCTCCAAGGAACATCAAGGAGGTGCAATGATTAAATGGTCGTATAGCCGCCCTATCCCGGTTCTTAGCTCGTTCTGGAGATAAGTATCTGTCATTCTTCAAAATACTACGAGGAGCTTGGTACACCAATTTTCAATGGACAGATGACTATCAGATCGCTTTTGAGCAACTTAAGGCATATATGGCTTCACCATCTCTTCTCTCAAAACCCATCCAAGGGGAGATGTTATATATTTATTTGGCTATTTCACCTCATACATAAGCTCTGTCCTTGTCAGAATAGAAAACACAATTAAGAAACCAGTATATTACGTCAGTAAAGTTCTCTCTGATACAGAAAGTTGTTATCCGATGGAGGACAAGACTGCACTAGCCCTAATATTCTCAGCAAGGAGACTTCTTCCGTACTTCCAGACTCACACTATTGACATTTACACGCAACTTCTTTTGAAGGCTATCCTACAAAGACCAGAAACATCGAGAAGATTAGTTAAATGGTCAGTAGAATTGAGAGAATTTGACATCCACTATTTACCACGACCAAACATCAAATCACAGGTGTTGGCCGACTTTGTAGTAGAATGTACAATACCTATCTCTGATGAACCACCCTCTTCTTTTCCACGGTCACCTCAGTGGATACTATATGTAGACGGAGCATCTGGAAACACACAAGTTGGTGCAGGAATAATACTCATCTCCCTAAAAAAAGACATTTTGGAGTATGGACTTCGTTTAAAATTTCCAGCCACCAATAATATTGTTGAATATGAAACACTTGTCGTCAGATTAAAGCTTTTCATCAACTGTGAGTACGAAACATGATTATTTAACACTGATTCTCAACTTGTTGCATCCCAAGTAGAAGGAGAATTTGACGCTCATAACTCACAACTGGTGCAGTATCTCAGTCTGGTAAAAACACTTCTCACCCAAATTGAAACATGTCAGTCATTCACATACTTTGAAAGCATAACACCCGAGTTGATGCTCTCTCCAAGCTCGCAACTTCAACAACTGGAGATATATATAAAAAAAGGTGTATTGAGGAGATACATTTTTCCAGTATTCAGGGCCCATGGGAGATACTGTTTATAGATGATCCAATGGAGCATTCTTGGATGGATCTCATCATCTTCTTCCTCAGAGATGGAACACTGCCAGATGATGCTACTACATCAATTTGCATCTGACGCATGGCTGCCAACTTCATCCTTATAGGGGATGAACTGTATAAGAAGGTATTTGTAGGTTCATATCTCAAGTGTCTTTCTCCATCTGAAGCTGATTATGCTCTACGAGAAGTTCATTCTGGAATATGTGGGGAGCATCTTGGTGGCAGGTACTTGCTCTTAAAATAATGAGGCAAGGCTTTTACTGACCCACGATCAAACAAGAAGCATTAAAGTTTATGCAAAAATGTAAGAATTGTCAACTACACTCCAATCTTACACATGCACCGCCAAAAGAACTACACATGCACCGCCAATAGAACTCACATATTTTCTAAGTCCTTAGTCTTTCGCCCAATGGGGGCTAGATATCATGGGGTCATTTCCGATAGCTACTGGACAACGAAAATTCATCATCTTAGTTGTTGACTACTTCACTAAATGGGTAGAAGCAGATCCTATTTCCAAAATCACTAAGGCAAATGCCAAACAGTTTGTCTGAAAAAAACATCATCTATCGTTTTGGGCTTCTGCAAAGATTATCATTGATAATGAGACTCTATTCACTGGAAGGGTTTTCACATCATTCTGCAAGGATCTTCACATTCAGTTGGAGCACACTGCTGTGGCGCATCCCCAAACAAATGAACAAACAAAGGTGACGAATCGTACTGTACTCAAAAGATTGAAAACTCGACTTGAGAAGGCTGGGGAGCAATGGGTAGAAGAGCTGCATAATGTCCTTTGGGCCTATCGCACAACCGCGCGAACTCCAACCAAGGAAACTCCATATAACTTGTGTTTTGGCACTGAGACTGCTATCTCAGTTGATATCAGAGTTCCGAACCCGCGACTTAAGACTTTCAACTCATATAACAATGAGAAAAAACTCTGACAAAATTTAGATCTCCTCCGAGGAACACGCGATGTGGTCCATCTTAGAGCTGCTTCCTACCGCCAAAGAGTTGCTCGCCAACTCAACCAGAGCGTCAATCAAGCCTCGACCTATTTCCATCGGTGACCTAGACTTGCGTATTATTGAAGCCTCCAACCATGGTCCCTAATGCAATAAACTATCACCTCTTTGGGAATGCCCACATATTGTGGCTGCTATAATCAAGCCTGAAACCTTTATGCTTAAGGATTCATATGGGAAAATCTTGCCCCAAACTTGGAATGTAGAAACCCTAAACCCTAAACTCCAAATATTATCAGTAACACCCCAGTCATGTAGTCCACATATGTTATTGCATTGCAACTCATACACAATTAATGTATCTCAAATATTATTCACTTATTTTTCTATACATAAAGGATATATTTAGAAAGTGTAATAACTCATTCACGAGTCGCTTCATGCTCTCGACCCGAGAAATACACAACTTCGGTTGTATCTTAGTCAGAGCACGATCAATCCTAGGGGGGATTCGATCTAACATCTTCTATATGGGTTAACTTCGCCGAGTTTTTACTCCGGCAAACAACCTTGGATAGGTTAACAGTCTTTGGTGGGCTACACCTGACCCTTTCCACACAGGTTTGTAAGCGAGCAATGTTCTAACCAATAACCTCGGATAGGTCCTCGGTGGACTTTCGTTGGCTCCTTCTATGCAGGTTAACATCATCAAGTAAAACTCTGATAAATAACCTCAGCCAAGTCAAATGTTGTTGTTGATTTATTTCCGGGGTGACCTTCTCACATACTAGATCTTCTAAATGATATCTTGTACCACTGTGACATGAAATAAAATAAATTTCAAGCTTATCACCAAAAAGATACTCGGGGGGCAAACATCCAACAAAATAAGTTGATCGGCATGTATCACTAATACAACATCATTTTGACAAAGTTTGAAAAGAATATTAACATTTGTGTAGTTAGAGCAACATGACTAAAACAAATGCGCTACAAACATTAAAAAAAAGAGTAAAACACTAATTGACGTCAATGTTCTCCTCCGCCACTTCGTTGTCATTGAAGAACACCTTATTTAGTTCACTTTCGATGTCACCACCATCAGAATCTGAGGAAGGGTCCTCTAAAGCCTGGCTTGGATTAAGCCCCTCAACAACAATCCTGGTTCGATGTTGTGTCGCTCGACTCCCCGATGAACCCTTCTTCGGTGAACCACTTTTGTTGCTCCTTTACCTCAGCATCAAGTACATGATCACGAGCTTCTTGAACATGGTCTCGAATGATAGTTTTGAACTTAAGCGATTTCATGAAGTTTCGACCGATTTACGCTTAACTTCTGAAACATCAACATCTTTTGCAAACCTCAAAAGTCGGATCTCTTCTTCATGGGCTAACACCATCGACTTAAGGGCTTTCACGCTCTTATTACTTTCATGAAAGCTGGCTCGTGCTTCCACCAACCCCTTCCGAGTTTTCTCCATATCCTGAAGCTGCAACAAGAGGGAGGTTTCCATTGTTGAAAGTTTAGTCCTACTCTTTGTCAGCTGTGATTCCAGAGATGTAATTTTTTTTACTCCAGATTCATACTGACGCTTGTACTCATCTTGAAAATATTTGAACTTAATGAACTCAGAATTCCAGTTTCTCATGCAAGTCCTAGTTCCTGCTGGTTTTCCACCATTTTATCCACCTAGAAGAAAAGAAATATGGGTTAGAAAGATGAAATAATTATATAGTAGCAGAAAATGAGAGAAACTTTCTTTTATGAGACAAGATATTTTTAGTGCAGAAAATGAGAGAATGAGAGAAAATGTGAGAAAATGAGAGAAAATGAGAGAAACTTTCTTTTATCCACCCAGTACATTCATGAGACAAGATATTTTCAGGAACGTGAATAGTTGAAGGGCTTGAAAAATGCTTCCGTGATGTTTCAACTTTCTTTTGTTTCTGAGGCAGTACTTCACATTCACTGCTCGTTGAGAGCCGCTTTGAGGATTCTGTGAGGGCTAGCTCAGAAGGTCTTTTCTTAGATTTCTTTAGCGCTGCAGTTGTTGACCGTTCGGGGTGGAAAGAAAGCTTGGATTTCTTTAGCGCTGCAGTTGTTGATCGTTCGGGGTGGAAAGAAAGCTTGACCTTGAATAATGATTCCTACCTCACAAATTCATGAATATATTGTATCTCAAACAACAGTTCCTTCATGTCAGGAAATCTCAGCATTTGCAATATTCTCTCTTTGGTAATCTGAAGAGAGACAGACAATTATTGAAACCTTCCTCGCCTCTCGCGGAGCCCCCAATCATTTTTTGCAAAAAAGAATTTTACGGACCATTGTCTTATCGGTTCCTTTAGACGAAAATCTAACGTCTTATGCTTAAACAACACACATCATGTGTATCAATAAAGAACCCACACAGTCGTGCCAAAATTGCCGGTGTTAACTTTAGCCCGCGACTCCTGAAGAAAACTGCCAACCCAATAATGACTGTCACCACTCGACAAGATAACTGAGCAACACAAACCCTGAACGCCTTCATAATTTCAATAAGCTCAAGTGTCGGAGGAAATAGTATGCCAAATTTTATGGCAGCCTCATAAATAGTAACATACCCAGAAGCTGGAGAATATGCTCGATCTGTTGAAGTCGGTAACTTCACTACCATATCATTCGAAAAGAAATACTTCTTTCGAAAAAAGATCAATTTGCTCTCCGTCATAGTTGACACTGCATCCTCCGGTTTCTGACTTTTTCTCTGGATCTCAGCAGAACGAGGTTCTTCAGCTGTTGCCATTTCAATAACGTTTCGTCGCGATGCTTCACAACAATATTTCGCAGCAACTCTTCACTGCAACGCTTTGCCGCGACGCTGTACTACGTCCTTTCATCATTACGCATCACCGCAACTCTGCACTGCAACACTTCGTCGCAAATTTTCTCCCCAACTCTTCGCTCCAACACAATTTTTTGCTCTGCCACAACTTTTTGCTTCGCCGCAACTCTTCACTCCGCCGGAACTATTCTCCGCAACGCCGGATAACTTTCTTCTTCTCCTCAATTGTGATTTTTTCCCTCATCCAATGCCTCTATTTATAGGCTCCAAAAGAAGTTTAATTATTGAATGCACATTATAAAAAAATATAATAATAATAAAAATAAAACATTTCATTTCATATTCCTTCAGTTTTTTAGCTTTTCAAATTCTGCCTTTATGACTGAAATTAATTAAAATCGCTAAAAAAATTGTAGAATTTAATAAGTTTTTCTTTTAAATTCTACTATTTTAATCAATTAATTCTTGGTGGCCTTTGGGATTCTTTTTAATTAATTAAATAAATTTGGATTCCGAGCTCTCTGTGTCCCTCTTCAGGTCCCCGTCGGGCCCACTCCTTCGGATCCCGCCGCTTCAGCACACTCCTTGGCCCGCTCCTGCCTTCCTTCAAATCCCACTGGCTCACTCCTTCCTTCGGATCCCTCTCAGGGCGGATCCCGCTCAGGGCTCGCTCCTTCAGATCCCGCGAGCTGGATTCAGGGCCCGCTTCATCTCCCGTCGGGTCTCGGACGGGTGGTCTCCTGCCTCGATGTGACCCACAGATCCAATTCTCTATCTTTTTGGTCTCGGCCCGGCTTATATACAAGGTAAAAAAATTTATATTTTCTTTGTTTAAGGTGGGATTCGAACCCTCACCACTTGCAAATGAAAAAATTCACTTACCAACAGAGCTAGACTCAGCTTACTTCTATATTATATTATTCTTATTTAATTATTGGTAGCAATAAAATATATATATCTAAATTTTTTATGTCCTCTATGAAAAGTCTATGGATCTTAATATTTTTGGACGAAAAAAAATGGATTCGCGCGAAAATAGGGGGCAACTGATACGCCACCAATAAATTTTCATCATTCGACACGAATCTCGAGACAATATTATAAGCAAAAAATATCTAAATTTCAATTAAGAGTCATCTAGAGCTCTGATTTCTGAAAACTAGCTTTGATTTTAGAAAACTTATAGTCAAACTGATCGGCTCAATGACCGGACCTAATGATATGAAAGTCAGTCCAATCTGAGTCAAATCAAGCCCAGATCAAATCATTAAACCACTATTAGAGGATTTCCGGAGGAATTTGAAAGGTTAAATGGATGTCGAATCGAGCGTCTCGACAAGACGAATCCAACGAGCCCAAGATTGCTCAATTCCGACATCGGGGAGTTCAAAGTTCGCAGGAAGACATCCTCAAAAGGTTGTGGCAATTTCGCAGGCAGGAGTCACATATCAAATTTGGCGTGATCGCGACTCTCAGCAAGAGTTTGCGAGGATTTGCGGCAGGGTTGAGGCGAAGGCGAAGGAGTTTGGCCAGGCTTCCGAGTGCGGCGGCGGGCAAATTCGCAAACCTTGCGGGAGTCAGCAGCGGGCGAATTCGCGAACCTTTGCTGGGAGGCAGAATCGAAAGCTAGAAAAGGATTCCTTCTGCGGAGCAGAGCGAAGGAACAGGCAGAGCAAGGATCGCGATCGGAACAGGAAGGTTCGCCGATTTGGAAGATTCTCCCGGAATCTGGATGTGATTTGATTCCCTAATTGCTGGAGGGGAATTCCTTTGCGGGACTTCAGTGCGAAAGAAAGTTTCTGTGATTGATTGGGGAGAAGAAAGCGAAGGAGAAATTGGGGAATCTCCCATTTTACTTCCTTCCTGGTTAAAAAAAAATTCTTTTATAGGTGGAAGACTTGGCTTCCTTCTCTTGAGGCAAAAATTTTGCGATTTCCAAATTTTGGTTCTGATTGTATTTCTTTGCTGGAGATATTTCTTGGTTGTGCACGTGGTGCTATTCCAGGACGTGGTAGTAGGGAACAACTGAAAGATTTTGAAGGAATTTTTCAGAAAAGTTTCGTTGCAGGTTTAATTTTTAGATGATATTTTCTGGTGTAAAATTCGAGGTGGTGATGTTTGATGAAACTGGTAACTTCGGATTGTGGAAAA